TTTGGGATAGAGTCGGATGGGCAAGCCGTTCTGGGGAAGGGCGAAGGGCCCATACTGTATTCCATGCTGTGGGCCCACCACAGACCACCTGCATCATAAGTAGAAGAAAAAAATGCCATGAGGACTGAGGAGATAGATACAATATACATACAACATTTGACATTTCTATTCTTAGAAATTCAGCTTTTTAGAGTTTTTTTTGAAAATCAGCTTTTTAGAGTTAAATCTACACAAGTGGTAAAGTATAAAGTTTTTTAAAATTTTAATGATTACTAACCTGTACTTTGTGGTGAGATGGTGTACAAGGACCAAAATTTCCAGCTTGGCTAGTTCATTCCCGGGGCATGCGTGGGTCCCATTGCCAAATGGCATGAAAGTATTGGGCTTTGGAGCCACCTGTCACATCACACCAAGTGGATTATTATTTTTGTTTTGTTTTGTTTTCTTGGTTCATAGGATCTGCGTGGGTAATATATTAGTTAAAACTTTTTTTTTTTTTTTTTTTTTTTTACCTCAAATCTTGAAGGATCAAACTTCTCTGGCTCTGGGAAGTTTTCTGGGCTGTGATGAATGTTTCTGAAGAGGGGCAAAACTTTCCACCCTTTTGGGATCAGATAGCCTGAAACAAGGAAATGCCAGTCAATAATTGTGATAGATAAGTGTATAGATATATGGGTAGTTCTGACTTTTTATAGTGGGGTGAGGTGGGGGGGGGGGGGGTCAAACTCACCTTGTAACTCAACATCTTCAACAGCTTCTCTGAAAGTAAAGGATAAGATTGAAGCCACTCTGAGTGTTTCTTGAATCACTCTTGTAGTGATTGGCATCTTCTTGGAATCTGCCCAGTTCAGAATCTTGTCTTCTCCACTCTCCTCTTTTGATCTCAAAATCCCTTCTTGCTCTTCCTGGAGAAATTAAAACCCAGAAAAGTTAAAATCTTTATCATTAATCACATAATAATAATAAAAGTTTGGGATTTTCTGGGCATGAAATCTTACTGTGACAGCTTGTAGGACGCTGGGGTTTTCCGCGAGGTACTTGACGACCCAGGTGATGACACTGGCGGTGGTGTCGCGGGCGGCGAAAATGACTCCGATGATGTTGTCGGCAATCTGGTCGTCGGTTAGGCTTTCCTTGGCGCCCATGAAAGATCCCAGCAAGTCGTTGTGGGTTTCGCCGCTTTGGCGGCGGGTGGCGAGGATTTGGGCCAGGATCTGCGCCAGCTCCCGCCGGGCTTTCATGGCCTTGTGGAAGAGCGTTCCGGGGAGGTTCACCGGCATGGAATTGTACCCCTTTTCAAGAATGTAGTAACACCTCTTCAGATCCTCCCTGTACAGAACCTCGTCCTTTCCGAATATCGAAAGCAATGCCACATTGAAGGTGTACTGCAGGAGAACCATAGTTCGGTTCAGAAAACGTTTCAAGAAACAGAGTAAAAACAGGGGATCTCTGTTCTGTTTTTTTTTTTTTTTTTTTTTAAAAACATAAGCACTTACTGTTTTCATTTCTTGGTAAGTGTTGATCAATCGTCCTTCGAACGACTCTAAGGTGGCTTTCGCGATGGTTTCGACGTCGGGGACGATGGCTTTTATGGCCTCCGGCATGAATGCCCGGAGCACAAGCTTCCTGAGCTTGGCATGGTAGTCTCCCTGGTGGAAAAATATGGCCTGTTTCCCTAACATCCTCTCTTTGCTAGCTGGGAATGTAGGCTTGAAGAGATGAGCTTTTGTTAGCAGCACAAGCTTCGCCACTTCCGGGCTGGAAATCATCACACAACGACACCCCAAAATATGAGTCTTGAATATCGAACCATACCTGTCCAAAAAAAAACCCTCTTTCCATTAACAACCCAGTCAAGAACACAGAAAATTAAAACACCCCAAAAACAAAATGGAATCTGTACTGACTTCTTGACTTTGGAGGCGAAGAAAACGTTTGGGTTCTGAGAGTAAAGCTGGAAGGTTTCGCCAATGTAAGGCCAGCCCAGAGTGCCGGGTGGGAGAGGGAGTTTGATGGCACTGAAAGAGAAGAATTTGAGGACACAACGGAGGAGGAAAATGGAGAGAAACGAAGCTAATACTGCCCAGAACATGGATGCGGTTTTGAACTCCATGGTTGAAGAGGAGTGTCTGTGTATAAAGTTTAAAGTAGTGAAACTGTTGTGGGTTGAGTTAACAGTTTGGGAATGAAAATTGGTGAAAGAAAAATGGGATATAAATAGGCAGGGGATGCAAACAGGAGAAAGGAGCTTTCAATTACAGCTCGAATTCCACACACGGAATCTCCCTCCAGCTCATTCTTCAGTAACTGAGAGAGAGCTGTGGGAGAGAGTAATATTAAGTGAGAGAAATGGGTGTGGTTTGGCACGTGTCACTTCCACTCTCTATTTCTTATATAAACAAGGTTTTCCAATTGTTATACCATTAACCACGGTTCATATTACCTTGTGAATTCTGATTCAAAAATTACGTGTGTTAATAATTTTTATATATGTAAACAAATTGAAGGTATATAATATGATAACTATAGATACGTAAATTGTTAGTTGAAGGTATAGAATATGTTAAATACAGGCACATGAAATATTGGTTAACATGTTATATGCCTTCAATTAACATATTCTGTATTTGTAATTGAGAGTTTATATGTAGCTAGTTATCATGTTATGTGTTTATAATTACCATGTGATATGCATTTAATTTATTTATAGGCACAGAAACGGTTAACTGCAAATACATGATGTATCCATTGCTAGTACAAAAAGTTATTTTTGGATCAGGATCCACAATGCAAGTTAGATCATAGTCTATGATATAATTTGTCCAGGTTTTCAACGTAGTCCCATGAACCTGCCTAAGGCCCATGAAGAGATAAATTGAGATAATTTAGTTTCGAGCCTCACAACCAAATTGTACTCTTCCGCCCACAAAATCTCTATATGAAACCCAAACTTCCAACGTTCGAGACAACTATAATATCATATATTAGTCTTATAGTAGAAATATTAAATATCAGTAATTCAGTAAATACAATTTTGAATTAGTTTCATAATAGTGAGTATATCGTCGAATTTAAATAACACTATTTAAGATAAGTTTGGTAAATACCCGACCCGTTTACATCACTAGATTAAGGCAGTTGGGCTCAGTGAATAGCGCGTGTTTTTTTGTTGTTGACTATGACGGGTAACACTTGGGGTGGGAGTATTGTACACTTTATCATGCAAGAAAGTAGTAGGAAATCTCCTACTTTTAAATTGTAATTTATTTAATTTTTAAATGTATATTTTTGTTTTTAAGTGAATATTGGATTGGTCAGACGAAAAAGGCTTAAGGGGATGAATATGCCACTACTATATATGTATATGTTATATGTACTGTCAACCAAAATCAACCTGCTTCCCACTTGATCATTTTTTATATTTTTATTTTAAATCTTTTCCCAAAAAAATTATTGAGCAATAATTTATTCAATCCCTCAACTTGGTAGCTGGAGTACAGGGACGTACGGATACTTTGTCATCTACAAGGTGACTTCCTTTGCAATCATAAATGCTAAATATATAGCAAAATATATAGCGAAGCCACTTGTTGGGACAATATGCATACGTACAATATTTTTGGACGATGACTTTCCTTATTTTTTAAAAGAAATACCATATTGATATCTATATCTCAAGATATGAGATTAATTAAGTTTCAGCTAAGTCCTATTCGAGATAGACCTTTTATTATCATTTTCTTTTTAATTTTTAAATATTATACATGTATTGTATCACATAAAGACTAATCTAGTCGAAATTTAATCAAACTCTACTTGAGGGTAGTCCTTAAGCATGCAAGCACTATCTAAGAGTGTGCATTAGGCAAACCGCACTTGTTTAATAATCCGCGAACCACATAGGAGAGATAAATCTCACTAAAAACAGTACTACATAGAATACTACGACGGGCTCGATCGAGAAGCAGATACGGAGCCAAAAGGGGGCAGGGGGGAGCTGTCCCCCTCACCCCACCCCCACCCCCATCCCATATATAATTTTTGTATGTATATATAATACATGTTTAAGTATTAGTATAAAAAAACAATTAAATATCAATTAGAAATGAGTTAGATTAGTTGGTAGAATACATGTTTGGCAATAGTAAAGGTCAATGGTTTGAATCATTTGGCATCAACATAGTTTTACAGTTTTGTTGACTCCTTCCCCTATGGGTTCAACACAGCCACGATTTTAATATTTTTTTTTTATTATTTAACACACACACACCCACATCTTTTTTATATTAATAATGAGATGTGTAATTTATAATGTGTTTTCTATTCAAATTATTTTATCAAATTAATTATGTTTCATATTTTAATTTGTTATGAATATTTTTATAAAGTTTCGATATGTTTTATTTTTCGCCCATATCCAACAATATTTACAACTATATTCATTAGGTAATTTTTTTTTTTAAATTATCTCTTTTGTTTTAATATTTTGCCTTTATTAGAAAAATTTTCTGAATCCGTCCATACTTTTTCGTTCCCCTCAACCGAATTTCTGATTTCATCCCTGCTAAGAAGATATTAGCAAAAATTATATTCATGAACTTTTGGTACATGAATCATGTTCCACTTTCTTGACCAGCCATATCGGAGTCTTTTGGTATCATTTTACCTAGTTGAAGATATGTGTGTAGTGAAAATTTTCAGTGTAACCCTACTAAAAATGGAAAAGTCTAAAGTATTTTGGTCAGATTAAGTAGTTGTAATAATAATAATAATAATAATAATAATAATAATAATAATAATAATAATAATAATAATAATAATAATAATAATAATAATAATAATAATAATAATAATAATAATAATAATAATAATAATAATAATAATAATAATAATAATAATAATAATAATAATAATAATAATAATAATAATAATAAAAAATAAATAAATAAATAAATAAATAAATAGTGATTTCGTTTAAATTGTCCTCTTCGTTAATTTATTCTATTTTTTTTTTTTTTTTTTTTTTTATGTTTGATAGTATCATAGTAGAAGGTACCGAAATATATATGTTTCTATTTAGAGTTCTACTACATGTACTCTTTAATTTTATTCCTTAAATTGTATCATGATATGACGAATTCTGATAAGTTATTTTTTCATGTGAGTCCCAATATAAGTGTCTACATCAAAATTTAATGTGCGGGAGTACAATATGGAAATACATGTAGCATTTTCCTTCTATTTATACACACAAGGAGTTGCTTAGAGTAGATACATGTACAATTGTATAAATGTATGAATGCATAAAGGATAATGTATAGGCAAGTTGGAGAGTAGTTTGACTTTTCATAGTAGTTTGGCTTTCCCGGGGTGTTAAGTTGTTCGACATATGGTCCATCTGTATGAATTGATTTGAAAGTTGAGACTTGACTCAAATTCAAGATCTCATTACTCATTAGTCAACAATTCAACAAACTGGTTCAAACTTACTTCTTTCTTCCTTTTTTTTTTTTTTTTTTTTTTTTTTTAATAATAATAATCAATTGAAGATATTTTGCAAAAAAAAAAAAAAAATTACTGTAAAATTTAAGTGTTGAATACACGGAGGAATAAATTCTAATGGGTAGCTCAAATGATTGACCAATTAATGTTTAAAATCACAGAAGTTATTAAAAGACTTTGACCAATCAGTAATGGTGAAAGTCTTTTATGTGCAAAAGTGTACCAACTCATAGAGTTGAAAAAACCTTGGGACGGGTTCATAGGGTCGAGGAAATCTGGGTTATCAAAAAAAAAAAAAGAAGAGAGGGGAGGGGGGGTGGGGGTGGGAGGGGGGTAATTACTTCATTCAATTGAAAAGGATGGAAAATCTTTAGAATAGTAATTTTGATATCAATTAAAAAAGAATTGCAAGGTGAAATCTGCACCCAAATATTCTAAAAATTTCAGAAAATATTTTAATGTTGACATCCACCCAATCTATATTCTAATTAATCTTAATATTTTTCATAAAGTCTCAGATAAATAATATCCCAACAAAAAAATCAAATTAGAGATCTATCTTTGCATCACCCAAAAAAAAAAAAAAAAAAAAAACTCAATAATATATACTCCGTATCAATCTAGCCGCAATCCTTGTTTGTTCAAAAAAAAAAAAAAACAAAAAAAAAAACAAAAACAAAAACAAAAAACAAAACAAAAAGAACAAAATTATTCCTTTCATCTAATTAGCATGATCAAACAACTGTACTGCTCCAATTTGTTACCCATGACTGATACTTTACCCCATAAAAAGAGCCTTGAAATTCCAAACAGATAAATATTGTGAGTAAGGTGATAACTGGTAAAGAATGTTAGAAGCAATCAAGTTTACATGTAGACAGATCAGAGTTAAATTTATGAATTAAATCAAGTTATAATACTGATGGATCAAATATAAAAAATTAAAAGAATTGAATGAAATAATTGAGCAATTAAAAATTAAAAGAGAAAGAAGATATTTTGGATATATGTGAATTATTCATATATAAATGCATGCATGGAATATATAAAACCATTTCCTATTGATTTTGTACTAAACAAGGTGGTCTTAAGTGCGTTCGTCAAAAATAGAATTGGATTATATTCTACAGAATATTCAATATGTATAATTATATGAATATATATTTTAAAAAAAAAAAGAGTTTATTAATTATTGTCAGTATTGACTCTTTTTCTTCAATAAATTGAAAAAGTAGTTATGAACAGATACTACATTTTAACATGGTCGTAGTACTAAAAAAACAAATTATTGTCAAGGTAAACCTACAATTGTTGACCAACTCCATATCACATCTATAAATTTTCAATCTCAATTATTGTGTATTCGTTCATATTGCTTGAGAATAGAATATATTCTGCATATTTATTTATGAGAAAATCATATGCGTCCGATCATTCCGTATTTTATCTCAAATTATATGACTTTGAGTCTTTGATTAATAGAAAAGTCCACACTATAATCTCTATGTGCGTTCTAAGTGAAATCTGTTTAATACTTTAGCTAATAAAAATTCACAAAACGGTAAATCAATTTAAATTATCTATAGACTATAGTGTACGGTACCGTATGCTTGGTAGGATTATATAATTGTGTTTGCAAGTCACTTAAAATACCATCAAATATAAAGTGAACTACAAAGTTTTTTTTTTTAATCACAAATTTCCCTCGCAAATAAGCTATGATTGTTAGATATAAATCATCTAAAGATATTGAATAATATAGTATTACGAGAAACCTGACCTCGTATAAGTGGAAGCGGTAGCCATGTTGATCTCCAGCCATAGTTGGTGTTCTTATTGTGTTGCCTCTTAACGGTACGCCGTTATTCATATTTTACCTCATACTAGACTCAAAACCACAGATAGTGTATAGGGGTAACAGTATGAGTACCGTAACTGAATGTGCTATCTAATCCATAATGTTGTATCTCATCAATCCAGGTTTATATTAGGCATAACAACTCCTAGTTATTAAGTCTAACTAAACTACTTAATAAGCATAGTCAACTTAGTTTGCACCACTAAAGCCCTAATATATAATATATATTATTAGGAAAAATCTTACAATGATCACACACTAAAATTAACTATATTTGTATCAAAGTTTTAAAGTAACAGCTTGAACCGATATCTCTGGTTAAAAAAAGAAAAAAAACTAATCATTTCATGTACACCGCCATAAATAGTGAGCTATGTCATTATTATATATACAATAATACGTCAATATCGTAGAATTGTGTATATATCCATGTAATATAGAATTATTATAAACTCTGTATATATCAATATAGCGTCTAGGACAAAAGTAAAGCTCTTCTAACCCTGCATGCATGTATTTAGACATACATCGAAAAATCCAACATTAAACTTTACAAGATTCAATTCAAACATCACCTTTTTACACATAAATGTCTTATAGTATATGTTCAAAGTACAAAACCAACGTAACTAACATCATGAAACGAAGCTAGACGGTTACCGCACCAAGACACTACTGCAGTCAGATATTGTTGCGGCTATGCATGAATTTAGTTTACATGCATTGCAAAAGCTTTAATTATATTTACGCAATAAATTCTTTGAAAAATTCTATGGCTAGAATTGAATACCGCAGTAACTATTTAAAAAATATTATTAATAATAATAAAATAAAGCAAAAAGAACAATATCTAAAGTAATAATAGTACATAAAGTTTTGTCATAAAATTATAAAAGAAAAGGCATAATTTCTATTTTTAGAATTTGGCGGCCATAATATTATATTATGACATCACAAAAATTATTTTTTAAATCATATCTCAACAACATAATACAAGATTGCTGGAAATATCTCATTTTTGGAAGTACCAACACCGATGCATGAACAAGTAGTAGAAAATATGCATAAAACTAACAGTGTATTGGTTAATGGGGTTAGACACAAAAAATGCGAATGAAAGTCATATACACTGTTTAATTGACAACTTTTTCAATTGCAGGTATAGAATTTAATTACTTTTATAATTACAAAACACATTACCTAATTTAAATCAAGTATCATTCCATTAATCCAGCCTTATCACTCATCATTTCATCTCATCCTCATTTCGTTGCCTCCTCACTCATCTTTATCACTGCATTAATTGCCTGCTCACTTCATTATCAATCTTAAGATCAATTGCCTTGATTTTTTATTTTTGTATTTTTAAAGCCTTTAATCCGATTATAGCGTTATACATAACCAAACATCAATATTAGTAATCATTCAAATTCCACCCTACTACCAAACATGCGAAATACTTTCATCAAAACCCATTATAATTACCAAGTATTTGATTCCTATTCTCATTCCCATTCCCGATTCTCATGTTCCAACCAAACACACCATAAGAGAGAGTTTTCTGGTCTAGCAACATATCTCACACATATTTTCTACAATGTGTAATATGATAGGAGAAACTTCTAAAAGCTTATTTTTTCAACTCAACGATACACTTTAAAAATCAATTTCCTATTCATCTATTAACCAGTTTAAGCATATAAATATACTGAATTCATCTTATCATTCGAAAAAAAAAATCCAAATTCACATTAACCCGATTCCAACCATTAATAAACTCGATCTACCCAAAATAATGTGAATTAAAATTCGTACTCATATCAATCATATGTCAATTTTTCCAACAAAGACTCGAGTGGTATCTCGTTCCAAGCAACTAATTTAAGGCCATAGGAGGTGTGAATATGATGTGTCCAACCAAGCAACAACGTAACATTAAATTGGTGAGAGAATTGAAGCAAGAAAATTAAAACTAATAAGCATTAAGGCATGCATGCATGGGCAAGAGCCGTACATTCACAAGAAAGTGAAATTTAAAACGGCCAACTACTACGCAGCACACGCGGCGGCTCTACCTCCATGGACACGCTTCCGATGAACCCACAGCGCCATCAATTCAATATTCTTTGGGTCCTCAGATCAGTTGTTGAAACTTTGAAAGATTATTGCAATCTTCTTGGTTACGTTGTTGCTAGATACGATTCACCGTTAATTAGTTGTCACCATTGATGGGAGAGATCAGATTGTGTAGTTGGGACGGTCCAGGATTGTAATCTTTCACGTTTAATATCTACGCATTTAAGCCAATGACCTTGTAGTCTAGTGGCATGAAGTGATTCTTTCAGATGGGAAGTCATGGGTTTGAGCCCCGTGGAAATCATAACATTCTATGTATTAGGACTAGTATTAAGATTCTTGTATTTGAGTTATAGTATGACTCTCTAAAATTATCTGTTTTGGAGAACTCAAGTCGTACCATTTCTTGATTGGTCTGTTTAATTTGCACTTTAAAAATTAGCTCAAGAGTGTTTTTCTCTCATTTTTGAGTCAATATGGAATTGTATTACATATATCACTATCTATCCTTTGAAAAGTCGTCATCCATGGCAACTTAGTCGAATAGCCCTCTTCCAAATTTTAAGTAGTTTTTTCCTGTTATACAGTCTCTCAACAAGAATACTAATTATAAACACTCAAGACTGATGCATTTAGTCCATTATAAAAACTAGCTTTGGAGTAGAGATTTGACTACAATTAAGTACTATTTTCTCATTCTTTCTTTAGTATGGTCCTGTTTGGTAAAATAATTAGTCTATTAGTCAATTTTAATTTATTAGATCGCTATTAATTGTTTGACTTGGTTAAAAAATCAATATAAGTGTTTAGTTAATTAGCTTTTTGTAACTCTAAAATGCTAAAATTCAAAAAGTTGGTCAAAGCAATTTTTTCAATTAGTTTTTTGAAAAAAGAAACTATACCAAACAGCTATCAGGTAACAACGAATTTACCAAATATCATTCTACAATCACCTAATGTTATGAACTAATTATACCCTCTAATTAACCTAATCAACTAACAGCTAACAGCACTCCATATCAGCTAACATCCATTTACCAAACAGAGCATATATGCGACTAACCGGATTCCATCTAGATCGGGCCAAGAAAATTTAACCAGAAAAGATATGACTTGATGCTTTTTAACTAAAGATTTGTTTCATAGCATCAATAAAAAACTTTAGCCAAGAATGTTGCAAATTATTTGTCGTTATTACCACACCACATTCCAAATAACATTGGATTATTTATTTATTTTTTTATAAAGAAAAAAAAAAACATTGGAGTATGGGAATAGAAAATGTATAGTGCATATGTATAAGAAAAGCATCACCCGGAAAGAGCAGAAGACCATTAACGCCACGCCAGCTTCAAAGTGTATTTCTATTTCTAAAATATGAATATATATATATATATATATATATATATATATATATATATATATATATATATATATATATATATATATATATATATATATATATATATATATATATATGCAGACACACAAATCCTTATAGTGTTCTGTGTCAATGTGGCAATATATCTATGGGGATTTCTAGTATTCAAAGAATTCTGGCTTGAATTGCTTTTCCTACTTTTTATTTTATTTTATTTTTCTTTATGCCTCCAAACCAATTATCAAAAAGAAAACAAATACTTTAATTAATGTATACAATTAAGGTAGGGTAAGTGCAGTCTAGCTTAGTTCAATGGTGATGTTATAAAATTCAATCAAATGGCTACAAGTGTAAAATGTACAATTAAAGAGTATGCAAAGTTGGAATATGGTTGAAGGATATACAATTCTTAGCTACCAAAAGTTTGGTTTACAATCGTAATAAATACACTTGTCTATGCAATATGCATCACACCTTTTTTACACAAGTATATATATAATCTATAATGCTTATCTCAACATTGCTACTTTTTATAATGTTGGGATTTTTTCACAATAATAATTATTAGAAATTTGATAAAACCTTCAATTTGAACTCTACAAAAAGTAAAATTGTAAGAATACTAGTGTAAACACACATCATTTTTCAAATGTGCTGATAAAAATATATACACTTTGATAATCAATTTCTCATTCACCCATTATTTATTTTGAGCATATATTATATCAAACTAAATCTCTCACTTAGGAGAGTCCGAATCTACTTTGACTAGACCCAAATTAAAAGTGAACCTCCCTAAAAGTTATACCACAAAATAATCACTTTAAATGTCGTTTTAAGCCAATTTTCCAACATTAAATGCGTATGACATCTATTTGATTGTAGTATTGAACTAATATGAATTGTTGGACAGATCCTTGAATGGTTGAGTCCAATATTCTGACACCAAAACGTGGCGTTAACTGTCATGTAAGTATAAGGAAACAAAGTTGTGCATCCATAACAAATTATAATTTTTAGCGTAGTGATAAACACTTGATCCTGACATGAATTACACTCAAAACTCTTTAACATGGTGCACAAATATAAGAGTCTATCTTTCAACTTTGCAATTATATAAGCAATTTGTTTACAAAATTAAATTATATTTAGAGACACAAAATATTCATTAGCCTAAAAAATTAATACATAATTTTTTTTTTTTTGGATTTAGTGGTCAATTTTGCACCAAAGTGCATGACCAAACCCATGAAAAAGTTATGGGTCCCTATTTTTATTTTTTCAAAAAAGAAAAATAAGACTTTTTGTTTTTTCAATGTGTTGTTTATTCAATCTTTCAACATTAATAAAGCTAGCCAGCAAATGCGCTCTCAAACCTCTAGTTGTGATTGAATCAATCGTTTATCAGTATGTCAAAAATTATAATTAATAGTGAATATACAAGTATATTATTTTATACTTGTGTAATAACTAAAACTATATTTTGAATCTACATTGAGTTAATGATACTCGTCTTCATCCTCTAAGTCGATATCTGCTCAACGTAACATCTCCCTCCATGTCTATGAATACACTTTACCCTATATAACATAAATTTGAGATTGTGTTTTCCAGCTTACTAACGCGAGATACAAAATTAACAATTCATTATGCAATTTAGGAACCATATTATTTGTCAAAATTAAAAGGCATGGACGACCACCTTAATTACATAACATGTGGCAATTGATCGAATGATCTAGAATATGTTTTCCTTATTTTTCATGCTTTACATGCATTATAATACATAATAACATGAGAATATCAAAGATTTTTCAATTTTAGTATAAGAAATTAAATTAATCATTTCTTTGTTCGAATGTAATTTGAAAAATTCTCGGTTCTCCCAAACAAGAATTAATGACATTATAAGTTTTGAATAATGATAGTTTGGGCATTAGAGACAAAAATGGTAAGATCCTAATCTTTATAAATTCTCAAAATTTACTTTTAATTCCATCCAAAGTTGTTAATTGGCTATTAGCCAATTCATTATATTATTTAAATTTGGTATACATTAAGCTCATCATCTTTTTTTCATTTTGCACTGCCACTAGCTAGCCTTGTTTGTTTTTTTTTTTTTTTTAATAATTACTTTTTGGATAATAGTGCCAACTTGCACTACACAGATGTGGGACTAGTACGTGGCATCTAATTAATATGCACCTTTTCAACTTTAGTAATTTTTTTTTTTATAATTCTTTTTGTGGAGCTTGGTTACAGCTATCATTTTATTCATAATTTGAGGTATCATCTTCAACTCCCCCACCACCATCATTACTGACGCATACAGTCCATCATATTTTATTTGCATAAAATCTTATAATATAAATAATAAATTATACACTTTCCACTTTCTAGTCTAGTAAGCTAAAAGTCACCATGAGAAATCAACCAAAAGTTAGAATTAAAAAAAAAAAATTATTATCTAAATGTGAAATTGGGTTCAAATTCTATATACATAAATTTTAGCTCATCCATTTGGTACATATGCAATGCCTCGTAATGAGTGCATGCTACGCAGTGAGTTACAAAGATCGGTATTACTGAAGATGGTATTAAGTACATTTAAAAGATAAAGAAATGATGGATATAGGGATATGAGAATGTAACAAAACAAAACACGGAATATATTTACTTATTTTTTAAATTTGATTTAGGTATATAACTTGTGTTCATAGGCATAGAATTTCACAACACAAGATGCATGAATTCATAACATAAGACACAATTATTAATTTGTTTCAGCCTTTCAGGTACATAATTCATATTCTTAAGATACAAAATTTCATAATACAATATACAAAAACTCACAATATAAGACCATACACATGTACCAAAGTCCAGAGTGATCTATGAACCTAGTCCATGGTATAAGGATCTTCAGCAATAGTGGTTCTAAAGGAGTATAATTAGAACAAATACAAAGATATAAAACGCCAGCCATATATATCCTTAACATAGGCTCTGTTTGGCAAACCTAGCTGAAAAGCTATAAACTAGGAGCTGAAAGCTGAAAAGCTACAAGCTTGGAACTGAAAACTGAAGAGCTGTTATGATTGAAAGTGCTTGGTAAAATTAGCTTTTTGATAAGCTGATAAAGGTAAAAGACTAAAAAGGACATCTTCATAAAATTTAAGTTAGTTTGTTTACATATTAAAATTTAACATTTTGTCTTTTAAAAAAAATAACATTTTGAAATAAACTATTAGCATAATCATGATCTAGCATCTCATAATAAAGTAACAATATTGTTGTAAATCTCATAATAATAATAATAATAATAATAATAATAATAATAATAATAATAATAATAATATTTGCGGTGAAAGTTGCGGATAAAGGAGAAGAAAAAAAAGGTTTTGGGAAGAGTAAATTATGTCATTTCTTTAAAATAATAAGGATAAAAAAAAATTAGGAAACTAGGAGCTTATTTTGCAACGTTACCTTAGAGGTAGCGTTCCAAAATAAGCTCTTATTTTAAGCTAGGAGCTTATTTTAGGAACATTACCAAACAGAGCTTATAGCTTATTAGTAGTTTAAAATAAGCTATAGGCTTCTAAATAAGCTCTGTCAAACAGAGCGATAGTGATGGGTACAGTAAATGAAGGTGATAATGGGTTGGGTACTTGGTTTAATTTAGGTAGTTTTGTGTGAGCTTCCATCCCTCTAAGGTTACAAAACCACACAAATCTCCTCCGATAGGCCATCAACGACATAATAAATATGGATATCAAAAAAGAAAAGATTTTCCATCATCCATATATATATTTATTTATATATATTTTTGTGTGCGTTGCATGGATTGTGGCTTGTGGGATCCAAGATTGCCCAAAAAATATTAATATTAAAATAAAAATCCCATTTTAAAAAAATAAAGAATTGAAGCATATATGCCAAAATCAGCTATCGTATCTTGGTGAAAATCTTGACTGGGGTGGCAATATAATATATTCTGGACATGAGGATTTCATAGCCTATACCCCATTAAAGGTGGCACACTTTCTAGGAAGATCAGACACAAGTCTAACCTTTGGTTCAAAAGGATCCCAACGTCATAATCTTCAGCAATCAATCGAGCTTATCATGATCTCGCTTCTATGTCTAATTCTGCCTTTTCTCTCAACATTTTTTTTTTTTTAATCTAATAGAACATAAATGAAAAAGACCAAAATCACTTCAAAAAAAATTAGTTCATAAATAATTCAGGAGCCAAAAAATAAATACGTAAATAACTAGAGGGCTAAGTTTATACTTGGAGTATAAGTGTATAATTGAAGAACCAAATATACTTCTTCTTCTTTTTCTTTAAAAAAAAAAAAAAAATTAATACCAGAGAAAGAAAAAACTCATATAGAAAACTACTATAGATATTTTAACCAACACACTCTTACAATTACAAGCTTGCAAGTAAAGGACAAAATACATAAGGAGGTTTATCAAAGGCATTCAACTCCAAATGTGGTGAGATATAAGAAGAGATCATCCAACTTGCCCATAGATTGGATTATCTATATATGAATATGCTGTATAGAGCATAATTACTCTCTTTTGAGAACGGTTCTTAGGGCATTCCCATTAGTTCCTTTATCACATTTTTTGAGGAATTTTTTGTCACCTTAGAGGAGAGAGAGGATGTGAGGGTGTCCGGCAAACGAGGAGTTTTTGCAGAGAAAAGTTGCACCTCACAATGCTTGAGGCGCAATTCTCGCGCCTAGGCAGGCATGTGCACTGCACACACCCATGGTGGGCACGTAAATCTGTTTTTTTTTTTTTTTTTCATATTTTAATTTTTTTTCTTTTTTTTCTTTTTTTTCTTTTTTCTCCCCTCCCATTTTCTCTTTCATAATGACACCTGTAAAAATACCTCAAAAACCTCACACTATTGAAGATGTTTTTATAGAGTGATTAGAGAACATAGCATGTCCACTACCCACACATAAATAGATAAATAAAATGTATAAAAATTAAATAAAAGAATTTCAACAATACCAAACTACAATTTTATTTTATTTTTTTTTTTACAAACAAATGGAATATGTTTGTCAAATGCTTTTTTTGTCCCTTTTCCGAACTCAATTTATATGATTAAAATACCACATTTTTGTTATTTCCCTTTTTTCCCCGACATTATACAAGTTTTCTATAAAATAAAATGGGATAAGGGTCAAATAAGCCCTCCAATTATATGTCAAAATGCAATTAGACTCTCGAACTAAAAAAAAAAAAAAATCAATTAAACCCATAAATTGATTAAATTTGTGCAATTAACATATTCAACATGTTATCAACAAGTAACCAGTTAATTTTAATTGCTTTACATCCTATGTGGCATTACATTTTAAAATATAAAAAAAAAAAAACAAATTTTAAAAAAAAATCGCCGACTTCTCCGTAAGTTTTGAGCGTAGAAGCCATGGCTGCTCTTTTCAAATTAGACGGAGAAGCCATTCTCCGTCCGATTAGACGGAGAAGGCGGCGGGTTTCTCCGTCAAGATTGGACGAAGAAACCGCAACCTATTTCGTCCATGTCGAACTCATGGACGAAGAAGCTGCTCCATGGCAGTCTTCTTCTTCTTTTTCTTTTTCTTTTTTTATTATTATTTTTTAAATTTTTATATATACAATTATTTTGATTTATTATTTTAATAATATTTTAAAATAATTATCTATGTGGCGTCCATGTGGCATGTGACCTGAAGGTAACATGTTATTATATGTCAAAGTTAATTGCACATTTTTAACAAATAAGGGTTCAATTGAATGGTTTTTAGTTCGATGATCTAATTACACTTTGATATATAGTTGGGGTGCCTATTTGACCCTTATTCCAAATGAAATTACCAAATTACCCACACATTCCATAAAGGAAAGAGGTGGGGATCAATGACATTTAAAAACACTAGTTGCTTGTCTAGCTCAATTGGTAGAGCACAAGGCTTTTAACCTTGTGGTTATGGGTTTGAGTCCCATGGTGGGCGGCTCTCTTTCCTGTTCTAAAAAAAAAAAAAAAAACATTTGTGTATTTTCAAATTCCACATCAAAGCTTAGAAGATTACTTTTGTTTATGATATTATAAGCGCTTCCACTTTTTACTATAAATTATATAGCATGATTTTTAGTTTTTTTTTTTTTTTAAAAAAAAAAAAAAACATGTGGCAAGGTTTTTTTTTTTTTTTTGGTATGAATAACAAATATTAAATTGAATGATTCTATTATACCCCTTGAATATATATATTTTTATTGAGTTTGAGTACTATTGACTCTGTTACAATGTAATATCTGTTCACAACTACTTTCTCAACCTATTGATAAAACACAAAGAGTCAATAGTCCACCTCCACTGAGACTCACATTCACAACCTCCCACATAGGAGAGCAACTTGGTGCCAAATACCCCTTGAATATATATATATATATATATATATATATATATATATATATATATATATATATATATATATATATATATATACACACACACACACGAGTACTTTGTAATAATCATTAATCAACAACTAACCATGATTAGTATATGAGATTTGATTTTTTTTCCCTCTTATGCAATACCTTGCAAATCACATAAGAGAGGTAAACCATATGAAAAAGATTGTACGACAACATCAACCAAAATAATGTTAACAATTATTGAATTCATAATTTTTGAATACGATAATTATATTTCACTCACTTTGTCATCATCGGTTCAGACAAACATTTTTACTAATAATTTTTTGTAATATATATTAAGTGACATTCAATTGAGTGGTTATTTACTGATGCCCCTACTAGGCCACCAGACTTTTCCATGAAGTACACTTGTCAATGTCATAAACATAATGATTTGATTATAGAAAATAGGAACGTGATTGATATACTTCGGAAGATACTATGATTGTTGTTGATGGTTAGAATGTAATTTTGGTAAAATTAGAGAAATAGGAAAGTGTAGATAACAAATGCACCAGGACTATGTGGTCTAATGGTATCCGGGTTGGACTTCCATTTGGAAGGTTGTGAGTTCAAGCCTCAGTGTGGAGGCGTTATTGGCTCTTTGTGTTTCAATAGGTTGAGAAAGTATATGAACAGATACTACAATGTAATAGAGCTAGTAGCATTCAAAAAAGATAACAAATGCAAGAGTAAGATAAAGTTTTCATGATTAAAGCAGTTGATTATTAAAAGTAAACCACTAAAATCATGAGTCTCCTTAATACCATAACCTTTCTAAAGCGAAATTACCATACATAAATCTATAATTTGAACGAATTAATCAAATCTTTAAATTTATCTGCTACTATCGTTTTGAATTCATTCATTAATATAATAATCAATTTTATCGAGTAAACTAAATCATATCTCCTGATCTCCATAGTTAGATGTGTCTCAAAAGTTAACCTCACTATAACACTGAGCCTAGACCATATGGTCAAGCCCAAACTAACATGCAATGGGTGAATCATTCCTTGCTAGACTAAAAAAATAAAAAAAAAATAATTGAAGGAGGTCATTATTGTCTTCATTCACTCTTTCTTTGTCTTGAGATGAAGATGAAGAGTGACATTTTTCTATTCATCATCTTTAAATAAAAACGAAGAGTAGTGTCATTTTATTGTTATCTCTAAATAAAGGCAACGAAGAGTGACTTATTCATGTTGGTATTTAAATGGAGACAAAGAATGACATCTTCCTCTCCATCCATGGAGGCATAGAGGTCTCTAGATAGAGACCTTGAAAGTCACCCGTCATTTTTTTCCCTTTAATTTATTTTATAAATTCAAAATGAATTGAACTTTATATTAGAGTCAAATCATCACAAAATTTAAAATAAGTATTAACTATTATTTGACATCTACATAAGCAGCAACTAGAATACTATAAGTAAAAATATTCAATTGCACTATTTTTAAAACTTGAGTGTCTTTTAAGAACTTTTGAATTCTAAAATTCGATTGTATATTTGCATAACCCTAAAAAGACTTTGTCTATAAGTAGGGTGAGAATTTTTGTAGATAAATTCTCTAGAGTAACATGTAATTTAAAAAAAAAAAAAAAGAATTGAAAAGGATGTAGAGTGAACACAAATTAAAGGGTACCTACAAAATCATTATTTGTGACTTTATCTTAGGGATAGAGATGGAGATTGAAATTCAGAAGTATGTGGCCATATTAATGATACGTGCGTGAATACAGCTATAATAATTCCTTTTTAGTTATTCATGCATTGCCTTCCAGTCAATGCACGTGCAAGTACAATTTTGCCCCCACTCAATTTGGAAATTTCTATGTGCTACTCTAAAACCATGGTCCTGTCTCCACTTTCTATGTGCTCAATTAAAACCACTTTGACTCAGCATGCATATCGCCTTTACCAAATTTATTAATATTCAAATTATTTTTTTGAAAAAAATTATATTTCCCTCCTGATTTATATGCTTATAACACTTTTCTCCCCTGAATTATTCATGTATCCACATTTGTCCCTTCAGTTATGTTAAAAGTAACAGTTTTGTCCCCCTTTATTTAAGATGGACATTTTTACCCTTACAAATAAGTATTTCATTTATTGTTCTTCTCCAACAAATTATTGCTTGTATGTATGGATGACTATGGTTCGGTTCGAACCTAATCGGACATTGTAGAGGATCATAGATGGTTAACTTGGATCACGAATGGTTAAATTTAAAAGTTGAAGGACCATAAATTATCAATTTGAAAATTTATGACTAAATGTGGTAAAATTACTATACTCAAAGGACTTCATGTGGCATTAACTCTTATAAAATATAGAGTTAAAATTCAAAGTAAAAAATATTCAAATTAGAAAAACCAAAAATTAAAATAAACTAATTTTGAGAATGTCACTATAACTGCGGATCAAAATTAAAATTTTCATTTGACAAGCTTACAATTAAAATTCTTCTCCCTAACCTAAGGCCCCCACACTTATAATTTAAATTCTGCCATAATGAAAAATATTTCTACCAAATTTTAACTTTTAAAAGTATTATATTAGAGCTTGAAAATTGCCTAAATTGAACTCGACTTGACTCACATGATAAGACATGTCCCCACATTGTCACTCTAATCTCAAAATGTTTAATTCATTATTTATTATAACTAGGAAGACCATGCCCAATATCCTATTATCAAATTGTGGTGTTCATAACTGTTCGATGAAGACTTAAAATGCTGAATTTAATATCATGTCATTGAAACGTAACGATAATTGCTATATATAAATATAAGAAACTAAAGTTATGGAGCGATTAATTAACAATAAAATAAAAACTCGTGGGTGGTTGGAGAAATGGGTCTAAATATGTGATATGATTGACCCGTAATATTTTGTCTTATATATTAAGATGATGAGACACTTATCTAGGGGTAATGGCCCTTTATTTTACGTCAGGTGTCCCTTTGCATTTGAAATTGTTGGAATAAGACAAGCAAAAAGAAGATTTGGAAACCGCATGCAAACAACAATACAATACAACTTGGAGAAAACAATCAACAACGTAATGAAATGAAACCATTTTCAACTGCTTTGTTCCTACGGTTCTTTGTATCATGAAATTAAAGTTGTTGCGAGCTATATATATGGTGGGGTGGATGCCACTCAAAACACCACTTTTGTTGATGATGTTATCAAATCCAGTTGAGCCATTAATAATGAGTGTAGTGCATATATATATATCAACTAGCTTTAATTTAGCTCCCTTCCTTGATTGAGTCTACTTGCAACATGTTGATATATATGAATTGATATGATATTATGATGCACATATATATGTCTTTAACACACCCCCAAAGAGTGTTCACTTTATATGTATCTAACTTTATCAAAAAAAATCATCAAGAGGGAAGAGGTACAAAGACAAACAAAATCAATTACTTGCCAATTCCTAGCACACTAATATGTGGATGGTTTCTATTTTATATTATGTGTATTAAATTTATATTTCCATATTGTACTATGCGTGTTTTATGATTGTGGTATCCTAAATTTAGAATAATTATTTTTATTTTTTGTTGCACGATTATCAAATCATTATTATTTTTGTCACATTTGGTGTATAGCGTTAATTTTATCACATTTAGACATTCTAGCCAAAGCTAGAGTAGAAAACAATCAAAATATCACAAGTTTTTAGATTAGAACTATATATATTGATGGATATATTAGCTAGAGACGGACTTGGACCAAACTGACACGAGGAGAAGTGGAGACGACCCGGAGGACGACCCAGGCTTGGGGCGGCCTCAGCCCAGGGTGGCCTCGGTCAGAGGCAGCCTCGGCGAGAGATTTTGTCACTGTTGGAGAGAAATAGATTGAAAATGTATGGTTTCAAAGTGTGTATGACACATTTCAACTATTTCATACAAGAGATTAATTTGGACAAAAAGATCAAACGTAGCAAAATTTCATAATAATCATGCAACCAAGTGACAAAGAGTAATAGTATTTCACGTGTTTGATTTGCCCTAAAAATGGGTCATATGCAAGGTATGTGAGTAGTTTCAGTGGCTTGTCACCGAAGAGCCAAATGTGTCAACATTTTTAATTAAAATCGTGTAGGTAAATTTTTAGAAATTTTGAACTCAAGAGAATTGAAATTAAATATGACATGAAAGAAGCGACACTAGAATTGATTAAAAAAAATGTCAACAAAAAAATCTACCTTCATTTAATGATCTTGTCCAATAAAAAAAATCATTCCCATTAAGAAATGAGTTCAATAGTTCAAATTAAACATATCTAGTTTGAGCTTAATTAACAATTATAAAGAAATTTTACAATGTGGACACCTCCTATAAATAAAAAAGAAAATGTACAATAATACTTTTATAAATAAATTAATAATTCTACTTCTATTATTTACAACAAATATCCTGCCCCTTTTTATTTTTATTTATTGTAATAATCATTTATCAAAGAGTTAATTAATTTTGAATTTAGTCATTTGACTGTCATTCATTTATAATTTTAGTCATTGACTTTTAGAACTATCAAATTTAATCTTGGTGTATTGAATCATTTTCAATTATAATTCAATGTAAGCTTTTTCTTAGCTTGTACGAATTGTTAACATTGATGGTGAAAATGAGACTACTATAATAAGAAATTTTGGTCTTGCTTCCCACGTGTGAGAAAAACTGGCGCAATGGTCATGACTTTTCAATTTTACCATCAATATTAACCATTCACACATAGGAAAACTAATCATGGATTACAATTGGAAATGATTCAATACTTAGCTTATGTTTGGTAGAGCTTATAATTTATTTTAAGTTATAAACTCTGTTTGGTAAAACATATGGAGTTTAAAATATTAATTAGCTTATTTTGAAACGCTACCCTAAGTAGCGTTTCAAAATATGCTGGTAGCTACTAATTTTTAAGCTTTCAACTTTAAGCTTGCTTTTAAGTTATGTATGCTAAACAAACCTTTAAGCTAGTTAGCTTTAATGGCAAAATTTGATAGTTTTAAAAGTTAATGACACTACTAGGTTTTTTAACTTTCAACTTTAAGCTAGCTTTTAAACTATGAATGCCAAATAGAGATTTAATGACTAAATTTGATAGTTTTAAAAGTTTTAATGACAAAAATTGAAAATGAATGATACTCAGAAGAGTAAATTCGGAACTAAGGGTGTGTTCGGTTGATAGGTTTAGCTCTAATGAATGAGTATCAAAGTGATTGGTATTGTTTGGTTGATAGGTTGTTAGAACGCTACTATGGGTTTTAAATACCCCTTAATTGAAAAACTCATACCTAAATGTAATAAGGGTATTATCCCCTTTCATTCCCTTATTCATTCTCATTGTCCCCTTTGATTAGTGCTTTTAGATTTTTGTTTTTATTTTTTTGTTCATATTGGTGAATGAATTATCTTGATTTTGTATTCTTGTATTTTTAAAATCTTTATTCCCATTTTTGAATCATACATAACCAAACAACATTATTGATAATCTTTCTCATTCCACCCTACTACCAAACATGCAAAATACTTTCACTAAAACCAATTTCCATTACCAAGTATTTGATACCCATTTCGTTTCCGATTCTCATGTGCGAACCAACACACCCTGACTCTTTACAAAAAGCACTATTGCACATACACGTAAGCACGCGAGCACATACGACGCGTCGACACGTGCACATATATGCAACCTAGGGTGCGGGGTGGGTTTAATGTGACAGTTTTAGGAACTCAGTTTTGTTTATGCAATCACTTTCGTTACAAGTCATTCTCTTCCTTTACAGGTAAGGAGTGGGGTGGTGTTTAGTTTAGTGGTGTCCCATGCAACTTTCACTTGCATGATATATGCCTAGCTAATCTGCATTATTATATTAATTATGAGAATAAACAGTTCATTAGCAAGTACGACGAAATTAAAGTTAATCACAGCTGCTCAGCTCGCTGCTTTACCTTAATCAAATATTTAATTCTTAATTAATTGCGATGAGCATGCAGAGTCATATGTCTCAGCTGTCATGTTTGAGGTTGGCAGATAAGGACAAACGGAATTGTTTAATTAACCTGCGAACCCATGCAGAGACACGTGCTGTTGTTTCAAGTACTCATGCATGTACGTACGTTGTACGTACAATATTCGTATGTGCGATTAAGCATTAATTGCTACAGTAAATACGCGATTAATTAAAATATGTAATTAGCATTCCGTGTATATCAAATGTGCGACCAAATCATTTTTTTAATATGTAATTCATAGTATCTATATATTAATTAATCAAAGGTTAATGATGAAATGATGGAAACAACTCATTAAATAAAAGCAGGAGCCGGTCAAAGTAAACTAATTTAATTTGCCAGTTGGCTATAGAGAACGGCCTTTGCATTCAAGCACAGGTCATGTCCACTTGCCCCCTTTCATCATCTTTTTATATAAATAAATAGGGGATGATCATATAAGAATTAATAGGGGGTATTTGGTACTTTGATAAATAGTTGTATCAAATAGTTGTTAGTTAGCTGTTAGCTGATTATGTTAATGGGTCTAACTAGTTGATAACATTAATTGATTGTAGAAAAATGTTGGTAATTAACTATTAGCTGATAGCTGATTACATGTGAAATGATTTTCTCAAAAAGCTGATCGTAAAAGTTATCTTGAGCTACTTTTAAAATTTTAATATTTTAGAATAATAAACTAGAAAAATTCGCAATTATGATCAGAGCTCATTCATGTCTTGAAATAGTGCATGAGTTTTTAGTTATAAAAAATTGGTGCAAATTTAAAAGTGTTGTACAGGTAGTATCATATTAATATTTATATTTTTATTGTACATACATCTTCTACTCTGGTGAAATGATCAAAATTATGCATTTCATGTAGGAGTCGAGTCAGCATCATATGATTGAAGGTACTAGATTTAAATGCAACATATATATTACCTACAACCTAAGGAAAGTCGTTGCTCTTGGACAAAATTTGTTATTCTATAATTATGTAGTCAATGCATATTATTGTAATCATTATCTAACTGTGACGAGGAAATAAATATTTATTATACTAATAATACATACAGTATGAGAGTATCCAGGCTAAGTTACATTTTAAAATAAAATGCAATAATTTAATATTATATTTACTAGTATAAGTATTACATTTGTATATTGACCCGACTCAATTCAACCGTTTTACAGATAAAGATCCGTGAAACGGTCTCATACAGGTGTGACCCTGTTAAAAATGGTTTGGTATAATAAATAGAAAATTATTAAATTTTAGATTTCTTTAATTTCTCTTTCCAATTATGCCCATGGTGACTAATTGTACAACCTTAATTAAGTTGTAGCAACACGTGAATATAAGTCAAGATTTATGTATAAAATTTGAATGACCTGCCTCTGATCCACCCCAAAACTAGCAAATATTATTGTGGGCTGTTGGATAACCACACTACTATTAATTATAACAAGTCAATACACAAACAAATGCCAGTTGTCCTAAAACAAGAATAATAATTAAATAAATATTAGGTATTATATTGCATCTTCATGTCACGAGTTTAAGGCGTTAGTTATATCTCTTCTTAAGGGGATCTACATCCTCTACCATTATTATTATTTTATTTATGCATCATCCAATGAAATCTACAGTCAATATTTAAAGATATACAGGTAAATTACTAATAAATTTCATTCATGTGTAGTAGTCTGTAAATTATATATGAAAATGAAGTTGACAATAATCGAACTTGTAACATTTTAGTATATATAAGAATTATGATCCATTTATTTAACCTTATTCATTAGAGGTTTTGTTGCAGATAAGGCTTGATATGTTAAAATATTAGTTGTCCGCATGGTCAGCTTAGTTGGTCACATGGATAAAGTTTGGGAACAATGACCCGGAATTCAGCCTCACCAGCAGCAATGTAGGAGCAACCTCTCAAAGTGAGGGGGGGTCTCTATACTATGTTACTATGATTTATATCCTTCCAGATGCTCTGTCGAGACGGGATTGGGGATTCAACTTTGGGAACAATGTTGAAAAACTAGTTTGAGTGTTTTAATTAAAAATAAAAATAAAATCGAACTTGATAGCTGAATTACTATTTTCCTAAAAATTTTAAACGATATGCGACTCTTACCTCAAATAAATATTAAAAGTAGTTATAGAACTAATTAAGCATGCTAAGATGACACCATTACTATACACCCTTTTATTCATGGTTGCATGTATAGTACGTCGTATTTATTAATTGGACTAATAACAAATTTCAACGTACATGGGATCTGCCATTTGGGTATGGTCTGACTCTTATTATAAAGTCAAAAATTAGATTAAATATAATGTAGGGTTGCAGTCGTGAGGAGATGAGATATTTAATTGTGACAATTTGTGATATGAATGTCAACTGCCACAATTTATTGAAGAAGACAATTATTGAGCTTATTAAATTAATTTGTGATTAATAAATAATTAACTAATAAGCAAGCTAGCTAATAGTATAATATGTTTGCTTAAGAAGTGGATTTATGCTACCCAATTGCTAGTGCTAGAACAGGTTCATAGAAGCTCTAAAGCTCATCATTATCATAGGATCAAGTGCATTCAACAATAGTTAGTTAAGTTATTTTATTATTATTATTATTATTATTATTGAAAGCAAAACCATCAACTGCACTAATGAAGAAGGTGAGCAATACACTCTGGAGGGGATAGTTCCCTAAAGGTCTGACCAACCTGTGAATCAATTGCCTTAGCTAAGACATGAACGAGTCGATTCACTAATCATCAAACAAAAATAACATGATAGGAAATTAAACTAACGAATCTAACAATTATTATTATTATTGAAAATATTATTTCCACTCAAATTTTTATATACATGTTTATTTATACATAACAACATGATTTCACAACTCTTAATATTTATTTGTTACTTAATTATAAACTAGTGATCAGAGTTACACCAATAGTTAATAAAACAAGACTCTATCAACATATGTATGTGAAAATTTGAATTGTTGAGTTTTTGATTCAAGGATACTAGGATTAAGAATTTATTGTTAGATGATCATCGGTATTAGTTTAAACTAATGGAAAGACCATAAAATTGTTACATGAAAATTCATGAAATTAAAAAATCACAATTCTTTTTTTTTTTTTTTTTAACTAAGGTAAGCCAAATGGGTTTCACTATCCCACATTCCCACATGGTTAAACTCTCTCGTAATGAACTTTTTCTTGATGAATAAGATGAAGCCAAAAATGGGAGAAAGTGGGCTACGTCTATAACAACTAGAGAGAGAGAGATGACGACATTTTGGAGTATAGTCAATTGTTATGCCATATATTAAGGTTTACACTACAGTATGGATCTTAATTCATGTAATGTTTGTGTTTTGTGTTTTGACCTTTTGTACGTTATGAAATTCTGTACTTTATGAGTGAATTTTATACCTGAACAAATTAGTAATTGTGTTTTATGTTATAAATTTATGTGTCTTGTATTGTGAAATTTTGTACTTATAAACACAAATTATGTACCTAAATCATATTTAAAAATAAGTAAATATATAATATGTGTATGTGTCTTGTGTTATGAAATTGTGTATCTTATGAGTATGAATTTTTACTTTGTTTTTTCAAACCTAGTTGGGTCCATAATGCTATGATATGTATCTTGTATTATGATTTTTTGTATCTTATGTTATGAAATTATGTAGCTTACGAGTTTAAATTTTGTACTTCGTCTTTTTTATTTAGGATCCACATTGTTACGTGGATCTTGGTCCATGATATAAATTGCCGAGTATAGTGCAATCCGCCTTGGGGTCCTCTTATGTCCTTTTGTCAAAGTCCGTTTTTGTAAGATTGGACTCCAAATGAAATTAATTAGATTTAATTCTTAGATCAGTTCTAATACCTTGAATTAGTGGATTTGATTGGGCCTCTGAGTTATTTAGCTGGGCTTCAATTGACCGGGGTAATATAACCCGAATAATCCTTTTTTTTTGTAAACTAATTATATTACAATTATTTTTCTCCTATAATAAGTATCAATTGGACAAAACTTCACAAGTCTAACTAAATTTGTATAACTTGCCGATTAGCATGAAGTGTGATGGCATCCCAATTAATATTCTAAATGGGTGGTTAAAAGTTCGCCGGGCTTAAATTTTTTGGGTTAAAAATGTAAAAAAAAATATAGAACAGATATTACATTGTAAAAAATCATAAATATTTCAACAAAAATAAATAAATAAAATTGTATCAACTCCAAATCTAGCCCATCTTCAAATAATGAAATTGAGTGTGTGTAATTATCAAGTTAGTCCAACTACTTTTACATACATGCAAAAAAGGCCCAAATATGAAATACGGAGTATTGCACAATGGTCCACAATTTTAACAAATGCCACTAAACTAGAATTCAAGCAGTCAACAAACCTAAAACAAATTATACTATAGATTATGATCCGCGTTACAAATTAGATCACTAATAAGTATTGAATGTTTATTTTTAAATAGTCTAATAAAAATAATTATATGCATTAAATTGAATTTTTAATACACTATAAATAAACATGTATATCAATGGTTCACCTCATAACGTGAACTATGATGCGGAGTATAATGATTGCCTATAGTTAGTCTTCCTTTTAGAAGCACTTCATACACCACGCGAAGTAATTCGAGCTATTTCATAACTTAATAATTAGTCTCTAACTTTATTTACAAATTTAATTTATGTTTCTATTATATTGTCTGGTAATTTAGGCCGGTAATACCAGATATATAAGTA